CTATAGGAATAACCAGATACAGGGTTCTTCTGCACTGAGTTTCTGCTGCAGCTCAGTGTCTCAATCCTACCTTCCCCTCCGCTTAACATGCAGTATCCTTTGCCAGGTGTTGCTGTCCCTTTCCTTGCTTGTTGCTTCATGGGTTCCTCATGTGTTTTGCTCCCCCTATTGGTCAATTCGATATTACATCACTCTATGTCTGGTTTATGTCTGGCTTGATGGTTAATCCAGGGCTGCTGTCCAGAGCAAGATGTGAGATCCGCACAAGTTGCCTTGATAGGGAAGAAGAGCCTTTATCACAGTTCTTCCCCATGAAAGTAACTTGTGCGGATCTCACATCTTAAGAGTCTTAACCACAGTTCAGAGAGCCAGTCTGGTGCAGTGGTTAAGAGTGGCAGACTCTAATCTGGAGAACCGGGTTCGATTCCCCACGCCTTCCCTTGAACCCAGCTGGGTAACCTTGGGTCAGCCACAGCTCTCTCAGCCCCCCAAATAAACCACAAAAAGAGCTAGAGTTTCAGGCTGCCAGACAATCTACGGATCTCCTGGCTATACTACACCCACTGCCGTACGATAATCAATTAATTAATTAACCATGGTTCAGTTGGCTGGAAACCAGAGGAGGGTCTTTTCTGCCCCCCCCATCTATGGAATACCCTTCCCCAGGAGGCAAGATTGACCACACCTCTGATGGACTTCCATTCAGGTTTAAAGATGTACCTATTTCATAGGTCCTTCAATTTAAACAGAGGGGTTGCTGCTATAGTGGTCTGCACTCGGTGTTGGTGCTGCTGACAGGGGAGTGGATAAGAGAGACTAGCTTCTTTTATTTGCTGTTTTAATTATTATGGACTTTATGTTATTTAGTATTAAACTGTGCTGTGAACCACCCTGGGGAATCAAATCTCATCTAAAGGGGATCTAGGACATCATCATCATCATCATCATCATCATCATCATCATCATCATCATCATCATCATCATCATCATCATTATCATTATTATTATTATTATTATTATTAATAATAATAATAATAATTTATTTTCAGGAGGGCAGCCAGGTTGGTCCGCAGTAGGAGAGCTATTTATCTAGTAGAAGAAGAAGAAAAGAAGAGACTGGATTTATACCCCGCCCTTCACTACCGAAAGGAGTCTCAGAGCAGCTTTCAATCTCTTCCCCTTCCCCTCCCCACCACAGATACCCTGTGTGAGCAGTGTTCCCTCTAACCTGAGTTAGTGTGAGCTAGCTCACAGTGATGTTGGTGGGGCTGAGAGAGCTCTCACGAGAACTGCTCTTGAGAGGAAAAAGCTCTGAGAGAACTTGTGACTGACCCAAGGTCACACCAGCAGCTGCATGTGGAGGAGTGGGGAATCAAAACTGGTTCTCCCAGATCAGAGTCCGCGCTCCTAACTGCTACACCAAACTTTGACACTGGAAAGCTGATACCCCCCCATCTTGTCAGGAGTAACTGGTTAGCCCAGTATCCCTTCTCAACTTAGCAACGTGCACCTTGGCTACACGCAGCAGAAGCCCTTTGTTCTCAGTGTGCTGGCAGAGCTACAAAGTTACCCAGAATCTAGTGGTAGCCATGTTGGTCTGAAGCAGCCGAGCAAAGTCTGAGTCCAGTGGCACCTTTAAGACCAACAAAGTTTGATTCAAGGTATGAGCTTTTGTGTGCACGCACACTTCCTCAGTCACAATGAAAGTTACACAGAGCCACTTTTCAGTTTCAAGACTAATATTAGTCCTTTTTAAAGGAACGACATTCTAGATAGTGAAGCTTAAGAGCTAGAGACAGAACTAATCTAAACTACCTTGGATGGGTCCGGGTGCAGAAGGACACCCGGCCTCCATCGTGGATGTGTGTACAAGAGAAGGGAAGGAGGGAGGGGAATGGAGGAAGGAAGGGAGAAAGGAAGGAGGGAACGAGGAAGGGAGGGAAGAATAGGGTTGCCAAACCCCCCGGTTTGCCAGGGGTCCCCCACAGCCACCCCCCACAGCCTCTCCCTTTAAGTGTGTGGAACCCGTGTTTCCTCCCAAGCCTGATCTCCGCAAGCTTGCAGGGAAATGCCAGCTTCGTGCTCTTAAAAGGGAAACGCAGCTGCGCTTAAAGGGGAAACAGCGGCTCCTGCATTTAAAACGGAAACGCCGGCTCCTTTAAGTGCAGGGAACTGCCGTTTCTGGAGATCCGATGCACGGGCGGGGGGTGGCGGACGTCCCCAACGTGACATCATCATGTCGGGATGCCCCGCCCTCTCCAGGAACGCCCCCAAAGTCCCCCGCTGGGGGTGGAAGATGGACTTGGCAACCCTAGGGAAGAAGGAAGGAAGGAAGGAAGGAAGTTCCTCTGTAATCTATCAGTTTGCATCAAAGTATATATAGAGAGAGTAAACAGGAAGAAAACCCACAGTTTGCCTGTCTATCTCACTGACTTGTTTGCAACCCCATCGCCCTTGGAGGCTGAGGCTTGAGGCTGCATCTAGGCCTTCTCTTCCAACCAATCTTGTTGGTCTCTAAGGACTTGAATCTAGCTCTACTGGACAAATAAGTAGCAGTGACAGGAAAGACTGGTCTAGAAGGAGGGCGGGTGAAAGAGGGTCTCAGGTGGCCTTTTGGTTTTTTTTTTTGCTGGACAAGTCTACATCATCCCTAAATGCCCATCAACTTAAAATGAAATTGCTCATTAGTTCCTCCATCTAATTGGAGCTGCCAAAGTGGCTTCCCTGTTCCCCTGAGACGCATTCCCAGATGCAAAGTGGTTCAGCGCTATGACGTCATAGTCAACCAGGGAAGAAATACCTCCCCTTCCACCGAGCTATGAGCAGATGAGCTGACCTCCTGCTCCTTGTTCCTGCTCTGCTGTTTTGAAGAGGACGCACCGCCTTGGGGAGCCCAAATCATCTCTTCACATCCTGAAGAGGAGGACGCCCAGATCCTACAAGGTGAACAGTTGCTCCTAAGTCAGATGTTCATTCTTTAACTGAGCAGCCAAATGAGTGGAGGAAAGCTGTATTCAGCAGTTGGCAGTGAGAGCTGCTTTCCCCGAGTTCAGATAAGAAGCAGGTGGGATCTTGTGCATCCCAGATGCACTAGTAGAGAGTTGTGTTCTTAAATCCTACCACAATTTCCAGGACAGTACTGGGAGGGGGACAGTGGCTCAGAGTTAGAATGCTTGTTTTGGTGTAGTGGTTAAAAGCGGTAGACTCTAATCTGGAGAACCGGGTTGGATTCCTCACTCCTCCACATGAAGCCAGCAGGGTGACCTTGGGTCAGTCACAGTTCTCTCAGAGCTCTCTCAGCCCCACCTACCTCACAGGGTGTCTGTTGAGGGCAGAGGAAGGGAAGGAGATTGTAAGCCGCTCTGAGACTCTGAGTGAAGGGCGGGGTATAAATCCTCCTCCTCCTCCTTCTTTTGTCATTTCCTCAAAGTAAAGAGCCAATCCTGGCTTTCCTCCTACTCATTGGAGGTGGTTCAGAACACCTCAGGTGTTTTCCACACAAAGTGATTCAGCAAGCATCAAAGCAAGCAACACGACTCCTAGGCAAAAATTGCGTGTTTCAACAGATTCTTCTTCGATGGGGCCCCCCAAATGGAAAGGTCTCTGTACCCTAGGGTATGTTTTCCCCAAGCATTCAAATGTCTAAATGACAAAGACAAACATGTTACAATTTCAGGATGTTCTTTGTTCCCTTGACTCAGGTCAGACAGTCAGGCACTGTGTGCTGGCTGGAGGTGAGATGTGGGTTTCTGCATGTGGGCAAGCCTTTAGTATTGCAATTATTCTGGCTTCCTTGACTTAATGGCAAGTGCATACTAATCTCTTTAGGTCTAAATGTTTCCAAATTCTTTAGGTTCATGAACAATGTAATGCAGATGTTGGTTCCTGTGTAAGATGGAGGAAAGATATCTCTTGAGACAAAGGCCTAGCAAAAATCATGTTGGGAGCCATGTGCTGCTAGCTGTTTGGAAAGTTACAGAAATAGAGGAGAGAAAAAGACTATGATTTATTTATGAAATTATCTGTATAAATGGGGTTTAAATTTTCTGAACCAACTATTTTAATTTTCTCACAACAAAGGCACTTTCCACCACTGCCCTCAAGAAGGTCAGGATGGGTCTTCTCCTTCCATTTTACCTTCTCAACAACCCTGTGAGGTAGTTTACACCGAGAAAGAGAGTGACTGGCCTCTGCTGACCCAATGGCTTCATGTCTGAGTGGGGATTTGAACCAAGGTCTCACTCCTTCTAATCCAGCACAGTAACCACTCTGCCACACAGGCTCTCATTCTAGGGCTGCCAACCTCCAGGTGGTGGGATTCCAAAAACAACATCCGTGACAAAAATAACAGAGTCAATAACGATAAATTGCAAAAACATTTACTGTAGTAATCCCGTAGAAAACTTTCCTCTGTGAGGTTCTGTCATCGCTCACATGCCAACGAATACTGCGCAATGAACAACTCGTTTCACAATATTTGCTTTATCTGAGCGTGTAGTAATCCCAGTTCTTATCAATCACTACTTATTAACTCTTGGAGGAAACATTCCATGTTGACTCTCTGATAACAGAACCCAAGGTCTTCACGTAGGAGAAAAGTTTCTGCAGAATTACTACAGTAAAAGTTTTTGCAACTTATATTTATTGATGTGGTGTTCTGGAATTCCACTTCCTCCCGTGATCTCTCATTTTTGGCTTTAGCCTCCAGGGGGTGGCTGGAATTCTCCCACTATTACAACTGACCTCCAGGCAACAGAGGTCAGTTCCCCTGGAGAAAATGGCCGCTTTGGAAGTTGGGTTTTATGGCATCGAACCCCACTGAAGCCCCGCCCTCCTCAGGCTCCACCCCCCCAAATCTCCAGGTATGTCCCAACCCGGAGCTGGCAGCCCTGTCTCATTCCCTAGAACACAACTGTGATTTGAAAACGTGTCCAGCTTTTGATTCAGTGTCCAACCACAGCCACCTCATCTCTTCTTCCGCTTCCAAGGTTCCCAGGCTGATGCCGAACAGAACGTCAGTCACTGAATTCATCTTGATCGGAGTGTCAGATGCCCGTGAGCTCTACGGACCCCTCTTTGGCCTCTTTCTGCTCTTGTACATAGCCAACATCGGCGGGAACTTAGTGGTCGCAACAGTCACCCTGTGGGACCCACACCTCCAGACGCCCATGTACTTCTTCATCGGCAACCTGGCTTTCATTGACATCTTCTACTTCTCCACCACCGTGCCCAAGATGTTCATGGGGCTGGTGTCTCACAGCAACCACATCCCCTATGCCAGCTGCATCTCCCAGATGTTCTTCTTCCATTTCCTGGGCAGCACCGAGGCCATGCTTCTAGCCATCATGGGCTACGACCGCTACCTGGCCATCTGCCGCCCGCTCCGCTACCCTATCCTGATGAGCCGCCAGCTGAGATGGACTTTAGCCACTTCTGTGTGGACAGCCGGCTTCTTCCACTCTCTTCTCCACGCTGTAATGATGTCCCGCCTCTCCTTCTGCCAAGACAACCGGGTGGAGCACTTCTTCTGCGATATATCTCCGCTCCTGGCCCTCTCCTGCTCAGATACAGGGATCAACCAGGCCTTGTTACTTGGCGTGACCGGCTCCATTATCATGGGCTGTTTTGCCTTAACCTTAATGTCCTATGGTCTCATCCTACGGGCCGTGGTGGCCATGCGCTCAGCAGAAGGCCTCCGGCGTACCTTTTCGACTTGCGGGGCCCACCTCACCGTGGTGGCTCTCCATTACGGCTGCGCTGGGGCCATGTACCTGCGCCCCCATTCAGAAAGCTCCCTGGAAACGGACAGAGCTGTGACGGTGCTTTACACAGCGGTCACGCCCGTCCTGAACCCGCTGATTTACACCCTGCGTAATAAGGATGTTAAGGCTGCCCTGAGGAGGGCTATCAGCGGGAATGCCCGCTGTCAGAGAGGTTAAAAGGGTATGGGGGAGATGTCAGAATATTGTACCAATACAGTGACTTGGTCGTAACTTAGTTTGCTTTCTGTGAGGTTCTTTTGCCTCAGAGTAGCCAATAGGGCGCCTGCCTATTTGCCTGGTCACAGCAGACAAACTTTTGCCCCCTGACTCTCAAGTCTCCTGCCCTTTCTTATTTTGGTGGTGGGAGAAAAATGGGAAGGGGGGTGCTGTTGATAGTGGCACTCTAGGAATTTTTCCTAATCTCTATGGAAAACACCATAGAAGTAGGGGGAGGTTCTTCCAGTGTCAACCGGAAGTGATGTCATGGCTGGTGACCCTCTCCCTCCACATGGAAGTGGTGTCACTTCCAGGTTATGCTCTAGGAATGTCCCAATATCTATGGTCTTTACCCTAGGGAAACGCCTCAAAGGGCAAGGAGGAAGTGATGTCACCATCTCAAACTCCACCCAGGGCCGGCTCACCCGCTAGGCGAACTAGGTGCTTGCCTAGGGCGCGCCGGCCCTCAGGGGCGCCAAACTGCACCCCACCCCCCACCAAAAGCCCCCCTGCCTGTCAATTAAAACCCTAAAGTGCTGTCAATTAAAACCCTAAAGTGGCCCTACCCCTCAAAGGGGATTCACTTTCCAGCCAATTCACAGCTAGCTTTCTATCTTCTCCTCTCCCTCTTTCTTGAGAGCCAGTTTGGTGTAGTGGTTAGGAGTGCCGACTCTATTCTGGGAGAACCAGGTTTGCTTCCCCACTCCTCCACATGCAGCCAGCTGGGTGACCTTGGGTCAGTTACAAGACAAGTTCTCTCAGAACTGTTCTCTCAAGAGCAGTCCTTGAAAGAGTTCTCTCTAGCCCCATCTGCCTCACAGGGTGTCTGTTGTGGGGAGGAGAGGAGATCAAGTAGTGAATGTACCTTCTGCCTTTCTTTTCCAAGTAATTCCAAGGATGCGTTCAATGTTCTGAACTGGTGCTTGGAGACAGTAACAGGCTGGAAGAAGGGGAACAAGCTGAAACTTAATCCTGACAAGATAGAGGTTCTCTGGGTTAGTAGAAAGGCAGACCAGGTACTTCAGGGCTCTCCTGTCTTGGATGGGGTTATACTCCCCTTGAAAAGTCAGGTTTGCAGCTTGGAAGTGTTGTTTGATACAGCGGTGGCTCAGAGTGCTTTTGCCCAGTTTCAGCTGGTGTATCAGCTGTGCATGTGCCTAGTGCAGTCAGATCTGGCCACATTGATCCATGTCTTAGTTACATCTAGCCTAGACTACTGCAACGCACTGTGCTTGGGATGACTCTTGAAGACTGTTCAGAAGCTGCAGCTACTGAAGAACACTGCAGCTAGACTGCTGGTCGGGCCCAGCTACTGGGAGCATGTGACCCTCATACTACAGCAATTAGTGGCTACTGATCCACTACCTAGTGACATATTGTGTGGCTCCCGGAAGGGCAGCTGGGGAAGCAAAGGGGAGGCATGCCTTCCCGGTCGGTCTTCCCTTCCCCACCCAGTGTTCCCCTCCCTGGGTAGGCTTGAGGTGGGGGGGAGCAGAGAAAGAAAGCAACTTTAACTTTAAATACGTTCTCAAAGCCCCCAACCAGCCGGCTTGGAGAAGGCACTTGTCTCTTTAAATTCCTTCTACAAGCCAAGCCGGCTGGCGTGGGGGGTCTTGGAAGATGCATTTAAAGTTATTTTCTTTCCACCTCTCCCCCTCCCCCCCAATCTATTTGCTTTCTTTCCACCTCTCTCTCTCTCGCTCTCTGACAAATAAATATCATTAGTAAACAAATAAATATAACTGGACAAATAAATATCATATAAATGTGCATATTTTCAATAAAAACGTGTGTGTAATATTTGTTCATGTCTTGCAGCTCTCAAACATCTGGCATTTATTTTGTGTGGCTCTTACGTTAAGCAAGTTTGGCCACCCCTGGCCTAGTCCAATTCAAAGTACTGTTTTTGTACTTTAAAGCCCAAGATGACTTGGGACTAGTGAATATGAAGGACGGTCTTCCCCCACACATTCTACCCAGGAAATAGGATTGTGGGAAGAGGCCCTCCTAACTGTCCCACCAATCAAAGAAGCTCATCTGGTGGGCACACACAACGGGGCCTCTCTGGTGGCGTCCTCTCAATTCTGAAACAACCTTCCTGGGGAAGTGCTTCTGATTCCCTCACTGTCAGTCTTCAGGGGGCAGAAAGTGATGATTTTATTTAGGACTGCATTTGAACTGATTTAGGTTTTTTTTAATTCATTGTCAGCCCGAACTCAGATTTTAAACTATTGTCATTTATGTGGCTTATGACTGCTTTTTAATATACATTTTCAGCTGCCTTGAGACCCACATGGTAGAAAGATGGCTAATAAACATTTTAAATAAATTCTGAAGCTATCCAGAGCCAGAACCCTGTTCGATATTTATTCCCCTCCCATATCAAGACACAGTTGCAACCCTTAGGGTTTTTTCCCAGTGACTGGAGAAAGTTCAAGAAAGTAATCCCTCCTGAACTAGAGTGACTGAGCATCTTGGCTTCATTGGTCTCGCTGAGACTCTCTGGTCAATCCCCAGGCGGCAAAGATCTTATGGGAAGCCCCAAGAGGTCACCCTTGTTGACTTCCAGGTCCCTAGAGTCACCTACGGAGAACGCATCTCTCTCTGAGACAACAAGGCTAACAACATCCCAAGAGCAGCCATGAACCATTGTGGGCAGCAGTCTCGGGAGGGAGGAAAGAAAACATGCCAAGCATTAGAAGCCGTAGCGCAGAACTCCTATGAGATACAGGTGTTGGCTGTCCAGCATAGGACACCCGAGGGGGGGATAGGGTCGGCCAGATTCAGGTTGAGACATTCCTGGAGATTTGGGGATGGAGCCGAGCAAGGCTCCCTCTAAGCCGTGGAGTCCCGTGAGCAAAAATTCTACTTTGTGAGCTACTGGTATTAAAGTTGTGAGCGAGT